GAGTCGCTGAATGACTGTGGAGCGGATCACACCCTCCCTACCTCCACCCCCCTTTAATGGCATTAGGCTGTATGTAAGGGAGGAATGAACCTTTGCCCTAGTTTCACTGTGCATTTGTTCATTAGTGGGCAGACTCCAGCATGGCATAAGCAGAATGGTCACACATAAAACCCACGCCCCCTGCCCCTCCCTATGCCCCTGGCCCTCCCTATGCCCCAACCCTAGGGGTGTGGAGGGGGCTTATATTAGGACACAGTCTGTAAGTCTCAATGATGGAGCCCACAAAAAACTGGGATGCTGAGAAATGATCTGTCAGAGGAAGTCAGAGGATTCCAGCCCCACAGGACCCCTCGACTGCCCCTTCCCACTGCCACCCCTGCCAACCTCATATCCTGTCAATCTCTCTATCCTACTTTTGATTTTAAAAATTCTGGTCACTCTATGCTAATTACGTAGGTAATTTCCCTTTTATGTTTCTCACTCAAGAAATATTTCTCTAATCAGGTATTATGAACCTAGCCACTCCCAGGCAGTCCTAGGTTCAGACTTAATATCCCATACAAATTGTTATTATAATCATCACATTACTCTGTGATCATTGGTTCCAGTGTGTCTTTGACTGGGGTATAACCCCTTGACGAAGCTCCTACTAGCTTTATCTTCTAGCACAGTGCCTGGCACAAAGCAAGCGCTCGACAAATGTTTACCGAGTGACTGAAAAAAGCATAGTTCGCCAAATGTCAGTGTACCAAGACAATTTTAATTGCTTCTTATAGATATCCCAGTTCAGATTGGCTTGAGTATGGAAAACAACTTGGCTCATATATTTTTAAAAATCAAGGAAGAAATAAAAAAACCAAAAAAAAAAATCAAGGAAGAATGTCAGGCGTGGCTTGATCTGGGCGCTGAGAAAAGGACTGTTAGGAATGTCTCTCTACTTCTTGTCTCTGTTTTCCTCTGTGTTGGCTTCATTCTCAAACTCACCCATTCTGGACACAAGGCAGTTACCAATAGATTCGTATTTCCCTTCTACAAGCTGAGCAACCCCCAGAGAAAGGAGTGTCTTTCCCAACAGTGCCCCCACTACCATGGGCAGGAGCAGGTCAAGGGGTGGGGGCAATGTGATGTATCTGTGCTCACTCTGCTTATGCCAGGCTGGAATTTGCCCACAGATGAATAGATACATAGTGCAAGTAGGGTGTTCATAATCCACGTTCAACAAACCTAAAGAAAGAAATCCATGATAAAGCTGAAGGAGATCCTTAAAAAACTCAAAATAAAGCTACTGTATGATCCAGCAATCCCACTCCTAGGCATATATCTGGAGAAAACCATAATTCGAAAGGATACATGCACCCCAGTGTTCATTGCAGCACTATTCTCAATAACCAGGACATGGAAGCAACCTAAATGTCCATCGACAGAGAAATGGATAAAGAAGATGTGGTCCATATATACAATGGAACATTACTCAGCCATAAAAAAGAACAAAGTAATGCCATTTGCAGGAACATGGATGGACCTAGAGATTGTCATACTGAGTGAAGTAAGTCAGACAAAGACAAATATCATATGGTATCGCTTATATGTGGAATCTAAAAAAAAGGGTACAAATGAACTTATTTACAAAAGAGAAGTAGAGTCACAGATATAGAAAATAAACTTACGGTTACCAGGGGATAAGCAGGGGGGAATAAACTGGAAGTTTGGGATTGACATATACACAGTACCATATATAAAATAGAAAACCAACAAGGACCTACTGCATAGCACAGGGAACTCTACTCAATACTCTGTAATGGTCTATATGGGAGAAGAATCTAAAAAGGAGTGGATATATGTATATGTATAGCTGATTCAGTTTGCTGTATACCTGAAACTAACACAACATTGTAAATCAACTATACTCCAATAAAAATTAAAAAAAAAAAACTGAAGGAGAAAAATGTCCAACTAGCATCTCTGCGGAAACCCCATCAATTGGTTACCAGGGATAACTTGTCCCCCTCTGTAACCCTTCATGAGCCTTCAGGCATCTGGCCTCCTTGTTCTGGCCTTCAAGTTCCCTGATGTCCGGAAGGCAGCGCCCTCACTGCTGAGGCCCAGCCAGGGCCTTGACTGCTAGGAAGTTGCTCACAAATCCCTTTGGGGATCTCCAGCTCCACTGGAGAGCTCCAGGAAATCCATATCTTTTTCCCTTCTTACCCCTTGTCTTCTTCCATGCACGCCTCTGAATGGTAACAGCACCTGAAAGAATGAGGTAGACACTTTGATCACCAGGTTTCAGCTGATGTATACGTGCCCATCCCTCCCTTTCTCTCTAAGGCTGGGGTCAGAGCAGGTCATCGATACTGATGACAGCATTCCTAGTTCTGGGATGCTGGGGTTACTGGGACATGAAGTCCTAGAAACCTCCTGTGGAATCTGGGACAGGTGATCATCTAAAATTATCTGTATTTAATAAATTATGCACTGTTCCTTACTAAGTGGGGTATTTGCCACCACATTCTAACACAATTTAAAATTGTTAAGCCTCTCGTTCAGGGAGAATTCTGGATCTACATGTTTCTCAAAGCCCTTTCTTTTACTACAAAATGAACTAATGAATAAATCCTTTAAGAAAACCCTGTGCCATGGACCTAGAGGTTGTCATACTGAGTGAAGTAAGTCAGACACAGAAAGACAAATATCATATGATATCGCTCATATGTGAAATCTACAAAAATGGTACAAATGAACCTATTTACAAAACAGAAACAGAGTTACGGGTGTAGAAAACAAACTTACAGTTACCAAGGGGAAAGGTGGGGGAGGGATAAAGTGGGAGATTGGGGTTGAGATATACACACTACTATATATAAAATAGATAGCTAATAAGAACTTACTGCATAGCGCAGGGACTTCTACTCAGTACTCTGTAATGACCTATACGGGAATAGAATCTCAAAAAGAGTGGATATATGTATATGTATAACTGATTCACTTTGCTGTACACCTGAAACTAACACAACATTGTAAATCAACTATACTCCAATAAAAATTAATTTAAAAACCTATTTGAAAAATCCATTTTTAGAAAGAATAAAAACACTACTTATACTTAAAAAAAAAAAAAAGAAGAAAACCCTGTGCCAACTTCAAAATAAACACAAACACTCTCAGACGCCTTATCCAGCCTCCCGACTGGACTTCAGCCTACCTCTCCCCTATGATCCTATATTTGTGCGTACATTCAGGAGAGCTTTCTCGGTTCAGCCTTCCTGGTCTTCCTCTTTTGCAGATGAGCCCTTGGGGCAGGGTCCGGCTCTTGCCCATTTTTGTTTCTTCTGCTTGGCCTTACCTGACTCCTGCCTTTGCCTCCTTCCCCTTCCCTACTCTCATAGCCTCTGGTCCTCACACGTAGGCCTGACCCACCTTGGGCTCTGGAAGCAGAATCAAGTCCTTTAGAACATAAGCTCATTGTCTTATTCTGGGCTGTATCCCCTGGGCTAGCAAAGTGCCTGCCACCTAGTAAACTCCCAATGGGCATTTGTTGAATGAATGAATGTATTAGGATTGCTGTGAACCAATGTCTTACCATACATTCAAGTTTACTTGGCTGAGCTGATTTTTAATCTCCCAGCACTCACGCCACCAACCTGCTGATGGACTTGTGCTGTCTGCCTGTGTACCTGATCCCAGCGTTTTTAGCTCTGCCCCCCACCTTAGATTTCACATTGACTTACTCTGCCATCTTGTAGCCTCATCTTACTCCCTGAGGGATGCAGGTCTGCCTAGCTTCTTTCCTGCTGTCACCATCCTCTTTGGACACATGTGTAACTCCCTGGAGTGACCTTCCATCAATCCTTCCTTACCACGCTTCCTGCAAGGGGCCATCACTAGCTCTGGACTCTCCTATTCAGAGGTCTTATCCCCAGTGTCTTGCCATGCCTACCACCATATGTATAGATGCACTGAACTGTGTTGTTTGGTCTGTCTGTTCAGTCATCAGCTAACTCAGGAGAAATTTCCTTAGTTTTGCAAAACTGAAATCTGGTGCCCTATTTCATAATGTCTTATTCCACTCACACCATAAAAGAAGACCACACGTCTATTATATGCCAGGCACTGTAGGGCATTTCCCCCAAAATTGGACATCAGTGTTGCTCTTTAAATTAAACAAGCATTCCTACCTTATTTAGGTCATTTAACAGTGCTTATATATTGCTTCCTTTTGGAGCCCTATAGTAAGTTATTTAATAAAGTCAATTTATAAAATTTGTTCTGGGAAAGGAGTAGATAAATCAGGATCATTGTGATTAACTGGTGTGTGTTTAATCTTTTCATTGTCGAGTAACACAGTTAAAGTGGATGCTAATACTGGACTAGGAGACCAGGAAAAGTATGAATGGTCCTACAAACAGATTAATACGATCGAGGGGAGCATGTTTGTCTAGTTAGAAATTGAAGTTTACCATTAACTAAATGTTTCACCGGTATTCATGCTGTGTTAACAGGTAGCACGTGGGTAGCTGATTCCGACAAGGAACTGTTTGTCTCCTGAATTCCAGGAAGTCAGATATTGAGGGGGGGGTGGGGATATGTGCCTGTTTAGAGAGTAGACAGGTATTCAGTACTGGCAACGGGAAGTTTGGAGGAAGTTTGGAAGTACGCACTTAGATCACTCCAAATGCCTGCCCACAGACAGGCTGCGGTAGGTCTCCTGTCCGGCATCTGCTCTTGCTTACTTGTTGGCATGTTAGTCTCACTACCAACAGACATCACGGGGAGTTTTACAGCTCAGGTGAGCAGAGTTCATGGAATTGGCTGAGGCCTCCCAGGAGGTTCTGAGAAAAGAGCATTGCCTGCACTTGGGCTCCTAGCATTGTCTGCCTTTGCTAGAAACTGCAAGAGAGAAAGTTTAAGACGGGTTATTTAGGGGGCTCCTTTTCCGGAAGCTGCACGTTTCTAATGAGAGGCTGTGATCACAGAGCTGCACATTTTCTTTCAGGTGAGTTCCAATGAATCGGCTCATGAAGGGGAAGCTCGCTGGCCCACCCTGAGACAAGAATGGCACCGCCCTCTGGGTGCAGCCTCCTTGTGATCGGTGCACTGGGCGTCTTTGCTCTTGACTGCTTCGCGAGAGCTCAGAAGAACAGCACGCTAATTTTCACGAAGGAAAACACCATTCGGAAGTGCAGCTGCTCTGCAGACATCCGGGACTGTGACTACAGTTTGGCCAACCTGATGTGCAGCTGTAAAACCGTCCTGCCTTTTGCAGTCGAGCAAACCAGCTACAATGACCATCTGACCATCTGGTTCACAGACACATCTGCACTGGGACCCCTGTTGAACTTCACGCTGGTCCGGGACCTGAAGCTTTCTCTGTGCAGTGCCAACATTCTCCCCACTGAGTACCTGGCTATTTGTGGTCTGAAGAGGCTTCGTATCAGCACCGAGGCCAAGCATCCCTCCCCAGAGCAGAGTTTACTCATCCACGATGGTGGGGAGAGAGAAACCAGAGAGAAGCCCATGCTGTTACACCAAGGCTGGCAAACCTGTATGTCCGTCTCCTTCTTAGATATGGCACTTTTCAACAGGGAGTCATCCTTAAAATCATACAGTATTGCAAACTCTGCCAGCATGGCCAGCAACTTCCCCTACTTTTCCTACTTTAAAACCTTCCCAGTTCTAAGCAACAAAAGCTATGTTGTCACATTCATTTACTAACATTGTAGCTGTGTCCAACCTTTGGGACCTTTGGCACATTATGGATCATTTCACCAAGGAATCTGTGAACAAGGTCACGGGTATTCCTATCCTCAACTTCACTTCACCCCCAGCCCCCATTCTGCCGGCCCCCTCTGCTCTGCCCATGCCCATCCATGGTAAAACAAAATAAAAAAACCAAAAAACCTACTTGATTCAGTCCAGAAACGAGCCTTGAGGGCCAGCTAGAGGCTAGGTCCTTGCTCCTGGGGGGCAGGTGGAGAAATGTCAGATCAGAAATGGAGAGACCAGTGCACCCCAGGAACTGCTTAGTGGAGCTCAGCAGAGGGGATGACCCCCAGGAAAGGCGGCTTCCTTCAAAACATTGCCTTAAGTTTTTTTTTTTTTTTGCTTCATTTTGTTAGATAGGTTGGAATTCCCCTAAGTAGAGAATGATAGACTTCAGCATTTTGAGACTGTGAGTGCCACAGAATGATTAGGTTCTCTTAGACTGGTATTTTCCAAATATCTTGTTAAGAATATTCACATTGAGAAAGGGGAATCTTGTGAGTGTGTTTAGTGAGGGAGGTTTGAAGCTTGGGCGATAGGGTGGGACCTTAGGACTGAATGAGGGCACTAGGGTCCTGAGGAAGGGATACAGAAATCAAAATTGGAAGTCACAAAAGCCAAGTGCATTGGGTTTTTTCCTTAGAGCAAGGCCTAAACCCAGGGAAAGTTTTCCTCTTCTAGCCCTTCATGTCCCTCTCTTGTCTTGCCTACTATCATCGGCCCCGCTGTACCACTTCCCCCTTTCTCCTCTCATTGTCTTCATCCCCCACCTCCTTCTCCTGCTCCAGAAATCAGAACTTAGATTAATACCAGGAGAACTATGTTTGACTACACTAGGGACTAGCCTGGGAATGTAACAGTCCCTTATAACATTACTCCCATGGGTAAATATGCCCAGATTACTAATAGATAATAACTAATAATTAACGAAAGAACTTAACGAAAGTCAAGATACTTTGTATGATGGGGTTAACACAAAATGGTTTTATGTGCATTGATACAAGGAACTAACATAACATATTTCTTTTTTAATTAAATTGACTTGGGGATTCCCTGGTGGTCCAGGTCAGGATGCTGCAGTCTCACACCTGAGGGCCCTGGTTCAATCCCTGGTTGGGGAAGTCGGATCCTGCAAGCCATGTGGCACAGCCAAAAAATAAATAAATAAATACATTTAAAAATTAATTAATTAAACTGACTCATCCTTGTACGAAGAAAATCTTCTCTCCCAGAGACCCAGCTTACCATTAAAGTGGAATATAAAGAATCTGTGGCAATTATGGTATAAATGTCTAAATTCAGAGTGCAAAGAATTTGAAACATTACTGAATTTATGATATCATAATAAGACATAGTTCTATTATGAAATGACAGGCTGTCTTGGAATTGATGACTTTATATCACATTCATCACATTTTTCTCTTAACCTTAACACAGGGTGACTGAAATAACCTGAAATGTCTACATTTGCGTAATTGGTGGGGGATTTGGCCATTAGGGCTAATTAGCATGCATCTATAATGTCAGTGTTTAAATTAGACCAAAACTAAGACCAAAATACGAATTTTAATAGAAAAATGTAATGACCTCATTACTGACATTGTATTTGAGAGGTAAGATTAAAGTGATGGAAAAAGACAAAGAAGAAAAAAAGAGGGAGAAAGAATGGCAAGAGGGATACAAGTGAAAAGATTAATAATAAATATATTTACTGTCATTAGTTACTGAAAATGTAACAAATTGAATTTTAATAGATTTTTATTAATAAAGTATAAAATTAACTGACGTTAGACATTATGAGCATCTTAATGTGTGCATAACATGTGATTCTTATAAGAAATAATTGTGGATCAATGGGACTTAAATCAATAGAGGAGGAAAGCTAATTAAGTTATAAATCAAGCCTGAGGTTGCCAGGTTTCTAGACTGAAATGCGGTTCAGGTTGTGCTGACAGAGGACAAATAAGCATATACATGGGGAAACATGGCATCCGGTGCTCAGTCACAGGGTTGGGAGGACAATAGGGAGCGGTGGGGATTGTGGCAAGCTGAGCATGCACATCCACCTGAAGGGTCCACAGCAGTGCCAGCTGGCTGAGTGTCATTGCCATGGGAGAATACAGCAGGGCCAGACCTGATCCTTCAAGGGAATTAGGAACTCCAGGTGCTTTGTAAACGTTGGCACATTATTCTGCTTTTTTGTTTGTTGCTTTAAATACCACTGTGTGGGTCAAACTGTGTCAGTGGTCCCCATGGAGTCCGGGACTAGCCATTTGTCGCCTCTGATCAGTGGTGTGCTAGTGAAAGTTTAACCGTCAGCTCTCCCACCAAAAGTCTGTGTGTAGATATAAATGTGCATAAGTTTATTATAAATTTTATTGATAGAAAGGATGTGTAGCACACAATTTACAAATGATAATAAAATGTGTAATGCTCTTTATTATAAACTCTGTACGCAATTAACTCTCAAAGAATGCGTTAGTTGATTTTTGCCAAAATCTTGTATCCAAAGCCACCCTAGGGCGGTAACTGATGAGCAAGTATAATTCTGGCATAAGTGTTGGTTGATATTTTCACTTATGTTAGGAGTAAGAGGAAAGTTAAACAATAAAGACGTATGTGGGAATGCCACTTGTCAGTCAGTGATGTAAGCAACTTCTTTGCTGAATCAAATAATTGGTTTCAAATACTGGAGGAAACTTTCCTCAATTTAGGGGACTAGTCACAATGTAAGGGCTACAGACATGATACATTTTTAAGTTTAGTCTGCACTGTTAACATTTTTCCCATCACACTCAACAAAACAATAAATAAAACCCTGATATGTAGTGTTTTAAAAGACATTTTAAAGGCATATTTCTTAGCTTTATCCACTGAGAGGGCCAAGAAGCAATGACACTCCTGTAGCAAAAAGCACACCGATACCTACATTTTGGTTCCTCAAAACCATTCCGCATTAAAACAAACAAAAAAACAACAACAAAGAAAATAGGACCCCGGGACTTCAACGCAGGGAGCCCGTGTTCGATCCCTGGTCGGAGAACTAGATCCCGCATGCCGCAACTAAGTCTGCAGGCCGCAACTAAAAGATCCCGCAGGCCGCAACTAAGACCTTGTACAGCCTAAATAAATAAATAAATAAAAATTTTTAAAAAGAAAATAGGGCCTTGAAGAAATAACTGATTCCACAGGGCTAGGGCAGCAAAAATTTAAGGGTGAGCCTGGAACATCTTAATGTGACAGAAAGCAAGAAAAGCTCAATAACTTGATGGGGACATATAAAAAAATATAGAAGCCAGCTTAAAGAATTCCACCGGTCACAAAGGGACCATCTGAGCATCAATATGATCAATTACCAGAGTGCATTTTAGCATATTGACTTGAAAAAAATTCCATGAGTTAGTACTGTCAAAACAAAGGAAGGAAGGGAGGCAGGGAGGGAGGGAGGGAGGGAGGGAGAAAAAGAAGTGGGAATGGGGAAGGGAAAGTACTACTTTACAGAAGAATGGCAACAAATACATATAGAAGGAATAATAGAGATACAAAATCACCATTTTGCAAACACCACCATAATAATTAATTCTGAAAAGAATCATTAATGGATGCTAAAATGATTGGATGAAATATTGTCTAAAAGTATTATCATCCTGCAGATTATTTGTAAACCACAAATGGTACCTTTATGATGGAGAAAGGTCCCTAAATGAGTGACTGAACTTAATGGGACAAATTGGCATCATGGACTGCCTGATGTGATACACTGAGAAGGACACATTAACTATGTAGTAGCATTCTTGCCTAAAACGTTAAACCTGCATCTAACCCAAATCCAAATGGAGGGACATTCTGCAAAAACAACAAATAAGCAAACCAAAAAATCTGGCCTGGACTTTGCAAAACTATCAGTGTCATGAAAGTTTAAAAAAAGGGATGAGCTGTTCTAGAATGAAGGAGGCTAACTAGTCATGACAACTAAATATAATGTGCCATCTTCATTGGATCCTGAATTGGGGAAAAACCAACAGCTATCAAAGACAGGAGAATGGGACTTTCCTGGTGGTCCAGTGGTTAAGACTCCCGTGCTTCCACTGCATGGGGTGCGGGTTTGATTCCTGGTTGTGGAACTAAGATCCTGCATGCTGTGTGGCATGGACAAAAAAAGGGGCAGGAGAAGATAGACGTCTCAGCCCAAGCATAGAGAGTAAATTTCTCTTTCTCTGACTTTTGGTTATATTCAGGCCCTCAAAGGATTGGATGATGCCCATCAGCACTGGTGAGGGTGATCTTATCTCTACCAGGCACCCTCACAGACACACCCAGAAATAATGTTTTATCAGCTGTCTGTGCATCACTTGGCCCAGTCAAGTTGACACATAAAATTAACTGGCACAAACAGGAAAAGGCAACTCCGTAGAATAAGCATCCATTTTATCTAGGGAGAACAAACTACTGTCCCCTTCATGAGGGAAAGGGTCTAGTATAATGAAACTGGCTCATCCTCCCAGGGAGTGTTCCATATTGGGGGATCAAGATTGGTCTCTGCCGTTGACAGGTTGGATGCTAAACAGATCAGAAGTCCATTTGAATCCATACAGAACCTTCATCCCTGACACAATGGCTACTTTGTTCATGAGTCCATTGGGTAAGCACAGGAATAGCTAGGGAAAGAGGTAGACTGGTATCTATAGAATGAGTCATCTCATCCACCTTATTATTGGGAGCACCCTTTTTGGTGGGGGCACTTTGGAGTATTCACATAGACACAAACGTCCTCTTACCTGTGCCCATTCTGAGTCTGTCCTTGTAACTCTTCCCCACATCTCCTTGTCTTATTCCTTCCACATCCTGTAACATTCACCCCAGCCTTTCTTCCTCTGGGTTTTGTGAGAGAAGTAAATCATATAGAAAATGATTTGGGAAGATGGCGGAAGAGTAAGACGCGGAGATAACCTTCCTCCCCACAGATACACCAGAAATACATCTACACGCGGAACAACTCCTACAGAGCATCTACCGAACGCTGGCAGAAGACCTCAGACCTCCCAAAAGGCAAGAAACCCCCCACGTACCTAGTTAGGGCAAAAGAAATAAATAGAGACAAAAGG